AATTACTTATTTACTTATGCTTGTTACTCCCAATGGGGCATAAGCCCGCCGACCAGCATTTTCAAACGCTGACCCGAAAAACTGATTTAAACCATCAATCTAATTGTAAAACATTTATTGTAGTAACATCAAGTTACTTACTTACTTACGCCTATCATCCCCAATAGAGCATAGGCCACCGACCAGCATTCCTTTCTAGTTCTATACAATTTTTGTTCATTCTTCTCATATCTGTCCCCATTTTCCGACGTAATATGTCCTTTGGTCTTTCTCTTTTCTTTTGGCCTTGAGGATTCCAAATGAGAGTTTGCGTTGTGATGCTATTGCGTGCTTTTCTCAATGTGTGTCCTATCCACTACCAAAGCTTCTTCCTGATTTCTTCCTTCGAACATCAAGTATTAGAATGCATTCAAAGGCTTTGATACTCGAAATATACATTTGTTTCATTAGTATAACAAGCAAATTGTCAGTATTTTCAGGGCTATTTGTTATGTTTTTCAAGTCCGGCTAATTGTCATGTGATTTATTCGCCAATCGAAATACAACTTATTCAATCTTTGTAATGTGCCAAATCAATGATGTTCGAGTGGTATGAGCAGCCTAACATCCTTATTGGTTTTTTTCCTCCTAACCCAGCCAGTTGAGTCCAAAGAACACCAATAGAAGCTATCACTATGCAAATCATTTATTTCAAACGCACCTGGTTTATATACCAGTCAAACAGATCGCATCATACCATAAAATAGGAAATAACATTTGTACAAGATTTAGCCGAAAGTGGCTGTTATTGAAGGAGACTGTAATCATTAAACTGACTATAGTGAATCGTACCACATAATAGTCTATAGGTCAAAACAAAGCTTATAATCAGAGGAATATATATATAATATTAGTCCATTAATAGATCTCAAAAGTTACCCATCATTTGATCTTCGTTAGGATATAACAGTATTTATCTTTAAAATATAAAAATCTTAATCACAGTAAAAACTGTCTGATTGAACATACAGTGGTGTGTGCTACTTATACTGATATAAGTAGTATATGACGCGATTAAAGATGTAAAGTCTGGCAGCAGAAGATGGAGGAAGATCAAGAAAGAAAGAGCGGGAACGCAATACAATATGTCAGAAAATGCATAAACAATGAAGTGTGAGACAATGGATTGATGTTTGCAACAGGAACAGTCGAGGTTGATACGATGGATTGATATTTTGCAAATTAACGATTTACTATATGGTTTTTCTAGTTTACCGATTAGCTCTGTAATTTTATACTATATACATTCGATTGTCCCCACCTGTATTCTGTTCACTACAATACTGCTAGGTTTGAAGTTATCACGAGTTCACTTAATCTGCGAACGAGAAACAAGACTCGGTGACCAAAGACCAGCAAGCTATCTATTGATGTGTCCCAGACCCCCTAACTAGAGGGAGAAGACCAAGCTTGCAATAGGAAGTATATTCTGCAAAACATCCAGAACGAGAGATCCCAAAAATTACCACTCATTATTCTTATCGGGGCATAACACATTCGTTCAGTGTAGCGCAGTCATTACAAAATCGTACGTACGGCTTTCATCATGAGGCGTCGTAGTTCTTCTAAATAAAGACCTTCTAACTCCCAGGGCAGAGTTTAAAAGGTTTGAATAATTTTTTCTGGTTAGCGTTTTTTAGTGAGTTGGTTTTCTACGGGATGGGGACGCTAGTCCCCTGCCCAACCCTCCTCCTTTATCCGGGCTTGGGACCGGCAGTAACCCCCGGAGGGACTCCAGGCTGAGTTCATTGCAAAATCAATATAGATAAAATATCTTAAGATATCTACTTACTTTTCTTTTTAGTCTTTAATCGTGAACAAAGTAGAATAATTACCAGAAACAAGTGTAGTCACCTAGAATGATCAACATGCTAATCTTTTCTCAAATAGATTAGAAATTTGTTTGCTTGTATCTTCTTATTGTTGTTTAGGATTTTAATTGATCAGTCTCTTATTGACATATATTTATACTGTAAGGATCGCCTTGATATTGCTTTAAGTCACAAATATTATAAGCAAAGATGAATAGTGGCTAGTAGTAGAATTCAGGACGCTTGTGAATAAAGTGATGATGTTTGAAGCGAACGGTAGTGAATTCGAGTACTCGAGTGAACATTAACTCTCTGATTTAGGTACATCCAAATGACAAATCCCAAATAGGACGAAACGCACATTCTGGATTTCAATGTTAGCCATCATCCATCTTTGTTTATAAAGTACTGATAATTTGTTCATCAAACGGATTTTGAAGTTTTATCCAAATAGTTCCCAAAAAATAGAACGAGATGTCATCTGATAAGGATAAGTTTAAAAACAAATAAGGAATTGAAATCATGAGTCAATTGAAGCTAGACCACCATGGAAAACCTGGGTAAACTAGACGGCCGTTTCGTCCTAGTATGGGACTCCTCATCAGTGCGCATCCACAACTGACTTCTGTTTTAAGTGCGTTGGCATACTTCGATTATAAAAGGTGTTACGTGTAAAGGTGTTGTCGAATTCTGAATATCTGTGACATCTTCAGGTTCATAGAATGGGTCAACATAGATGTGTCTGTTTATTGATAATTAAAATGACTATCATATTTCTAGAAATTCTCTAAGATTCCTGAATTCTTCCCCATCCAAAATGTTAACGTTTTATAATCGAATCCGTTTTCAGCCAATATATTGTATAACCAGATCCTTACTGTTATAGCTTAACCAGGAAGTTAAGTACTATGGTGATTGATTGAATTCATGAATCATTTAAAGTTAGACCACAATGAAAAACCTAGTAACATTGAATAGCCATTTCATCCTAGTATTGAACTTTTCAGAAGTGCGCATCCATGATCCCGCTCGAGGGGATTCGAACCCAGAACCTATTGATCACGCGCGCTAGCTTTTAACCTCTAGACTACTGAGCTAGAATCTAACGGTGTTAACGTCTAATTTATATATTTTATATGATCAGAAAGCTAAGAGAATAGCAAATATATTGTAAATTGGTGTTAATTTAGATATTTTTGATGAGAAGAACCCAAATATAGACTGTTACTCATTTCATATATTTTACTTATGATTAAGATGTTTTACTAATATCAGTTAGAATCATTGTAATTATTATACTGTACTATACTGTCTATATGATCACAGAAGCATGCAGTTGATACTATGATATAAAACTATATACATATATATGGCATTTTTAAGGCAAGAAATACTTTAAGACATGAATATTTTGTACAAATCGTTGAAATATATATTAGTGTATGTGAAGGCATTACCATGCGCTGATGAAGGAATTCTTGGAATTCTAGTAAGAATCCGTGACCAATGGAGTTAATCCATGTCAGATAGCGACAGGTATCTACTTCAGACGCACAATTTGATGGATTGATTAAAGTTAGACATTAATATCGTTAGATTCCGACTTACTAATTTAGAGATTAATTGTTTGCATACGAGACCAAAAGTCTTGGGTTCGAATCCCGCGTGTAGGATCGTGAATGCTCACTTCTGAGGAGTTCCATACCAAGACAAAACGACTATTCAGTACTTTCAGGTTTCCTATGATGGTCTAAGATTGATCAATTCATGATCTCAATCAAAAAAAGAAAAGAAATTCAAATAAATGAAGTTACGTTTGATTATTGTTAAACACTACGTTACTGCTTAGTTTCTTTTTATTACCGAAAAGTATCACTAATCAAATCAAGTACAATTAGTTACAGATTTATAGTAAAGTACTCAAAAGATAAAATCAATTTTTGTTTTATATACTATTTGAGAATGTGTCATTTGTCAAAAAAAAGTGTACAATTTTACCTACATACATCAGAATGTATCATTGAATAGGTTACAGTATGTGTGTGTTGGGGAGTTTTTTACTTCATTTGCAAACTGTTTACACTTCTACTTTCTTTACTGTATGATATATAGTTAAAGATATTTGTCATATTTTAGAATAGTATCTGTGTTACAACTTTGCATTTGTCTATCTATCGATCTTTGCTTGATCTTCACAAAGAGAAACATAGTTGTTTTGATCTTGTTTATAATCTTGACATAATAGTCATGAAGTATAATGTTTGAGACTTTTAATAAGTGATTTCGATTGAACAACTTTAAAGATATAGAGAGAAAGAAACTATTCTACCATTGATCGACAATATGATTAGTTGCCAAGAGTCAAGAGAGTATCCGATTTAGTCGGATATGTTCTAACTCAAAAGAACATCCATGAATGAATATATATGACTGACAAGACTATAAATGTACTAAGAACAGGAAAATGTAACTATATCCAAAATAGAACGTTAATGTAGGGAAAAAATAATCAAATTCAAGGGTCACGTTTAAATTACATTCATTTTGCTATAAAAAAGAATTGAACAGTAATTTGTACATTTAACAGGAGGCTTTTGATTCCTAAAACAGAATGAAGCAGGCTCAAAACATGTCTCAGATAGAATAGTAAATGAAATGTTGCAATTATTCTTATATATGACTTACTTACTTACTTACGTTTGTTCTCCCCAATAGAGCATAGGCCGCCAATTAGCATTCTCCAACCTACTCTGTCATGGGCATTCCTTCCTCGTTCTATACAATTTTTGTTCATTCTTCTCATATCTATCTCCATTTCTCGGTGTAATGTGTTCTTTAGTCTTCATCTTCTCCTTTGGCCTTCAGGATTCCAAATGAGGGTTTGCGTTGTGAAGTAGTTGTGTGCATTCCTCAATGTGTGTCTTATCCACTTACAGCGATTCATCCCTTCTGCGATCTGGTTTTTTCTCTCCCATAGTAGATTATTATTGTTGATAATGTCTTGCCAGCGGATCTGAAGTATTTAGCATAGAAAACTGTTAATAAAGACATGTATGTTCCAAATGATGACTTTCGTAGTTCCTCTAAGTTTCTTCAGTTGTTTGACTTATTCAAATCAAAACTTTGATGATTTAATTTCTAAGAAATAGAATGGTAAAATCTAATTGGGAGTTATAAGTAACTTCTTTTATAAGATAAAATAAAGGAAAATGATTATAGTATGATATTGAAACAAAGAAAATCAATGAAATTTTTCTTCGAATTAGTTACACCCTAAAACAATTAACACTAATATTTTTTTATTGATCATTATCTTATAGATAAATAAAATAAAATGAAGGATAAAAATGGTTTATAAGAAAGGATTGATGATGGTTAACAATGGAATGTAGGAAGCATGTTTCGTCCTATTTGAGACTTATCAGCTAGATGTACCTAGATCCTAGAGGTAATGTTCACCCTGGGTTTCGAACTCAGTACTGTTCATTTCAAATGTCATCGTGTTATCTAATTAACTACTGAGTCTAGATGACTACTACCATTGATGTTTAGAACTGTAATTGATCAGTCTCTTATTGGCCTATGTGCATCCTATACGGATTGCCTCAATATTGCCTTAAATCACAAGCATTATAAAGAAAGATGGGTAGTGGTTAACAATGGAATCCAAGACGCGCGTTTCGTCCTATTTGAGACTCTTTAGCTGAATACACGTGAATCCCAGAGTTGATGTTCACTCCAGGACCCAAACCTAGTTTACTACTACTACTACTACTACTACTACTACTACTACTACTACTACTACTACTACTACTACTACTACTACTACTACTACTACTACTACTACTACTACTACTACTACTACTACTACTACTACTACTACTACTACTACTACTACTACTACTACTACTACTACTACTACTACTACTACTACTACTACTACTACTACTACTACTACTACTACTACTACTACTACTACTACTACTACTACTACTACTACTACTACTACTACTACTACTACTACTACTACTACTACTACTACTACTACTACTACTACTACTACTACTACTACTACTACTACTACTACTACTACTACTACTACTACTACTACTACTACTACTACTACTACTACTACTACTACTACTACTCAGTAATTCTGTGTCATATTGTCCTTAGTGTAGTCGATAAGTTATAATCAAGTTTCATTCTATCTGACATTTGTTAACATGATTCATTTTAATATAATTTCAAAGGGAATTATATTCTCCATTAAAACTCAGACCAATATCACAGTTAGTTATATTATCATCGAGTAATTTTCTGCAAAATGGAAATGTATACACATTAATCAATCAATGTTATGTTATGTAATTTAGTCAATGTTTCTCATTTAATCCTTTTTTAAATGTTTCCTTCAGCGAGACTATAATTTATGGACAAATCAATCAGATATAAGATATTAGGTTATGGATGCTGGTGCGAAATTCATTCATCCATTTGGTTAAATAGAGTTTTGGCATTATAGCTAATTTCAATTTATGATTCAAACCCTGAATCTAATTTCTAACTTTAATCATCAATTGTTTATAACCCTCATTTGGTCGTAGTTGTTAGGTGGATACTCTCAAGGTTAATCTAGCGTCGCTTGAAGGTCACTCATAACACTTTTGTTGTTTGATTGAATTATTTGTTAGTATATCAACGTAATGATATACACATAGATAACTAATTATTCCCTTATGTAAACGAAAAGTATGTTGAATATTTTACTGCTATTCAGTATCCAAAAGAAACACATAGACACACACACACACACACACTGAAGATTACATTTTCTGAAAAAAACGAACTCACATAAAATCATTAAAACTAGATTGATCCAATGTGACTTTGTTTATATAAAACAATAAAGACGTAATAAGAAATAGGGTTTCTATTTTGTTAATCGGTGTTGATTATATAACAATATCTTAAATCGCTTAGAATGAAAGAAAGAATCTAATTAATTTACAAGATATATATATTAGTATCAGAAGAGGTTTTGTGGAGATTGTAGTAATTTCGACAGTTGAGATTATGAGTCAATTGAAGCTAGACCATCATGCAAAACCTGAAAGCACTGAACAGTGGTTTCGTCCTATTGTGGCGCTCTTCAGCAGTGCGCATCCACGATCCCGCCTCGCGGGATTTGAACCCAGTACCTATCAGTATCGCGCCAGGCGCCTAACCAACTAGACCACTAAGCCGGCCAGCATCCAAAAATGTTAATGTCTAACTCCAACTAATTCACGAAATTGAGCGAAACATCCACCATTGTCTTCAGCGAGTTACTACCTCACAACAGACCTGGTTGAATTCCACTGGTCACTACTTCTCACTAGAACTCCAGGATATCTCTTGAAGCCAGTCACTAGTGAGCATATGTTAATTAGTATCAGAAGGAGTTTTGTGGAGATTGTTGTAATTTCAACAGTTGACATTATGAGTCAATTGAAGCTGAGGAGTCCCACAGAGGACGAGACGGCCGTCCAGTGCTTCCAGGTTTTCCATGGTGGTCTAGATTTAATTGACTCATGATCTCAACTGTTAATATATGTATTACTCAAAAATAGTCTAGCAGACGCATTCCAAGTGAGAACTGGAGTCAGATAAGGCTATTTACTCTCCCTCTTTCTCTTTCTACTGGTTGACTGGGTTATGAAGACCTCTACATGTGAGGGGAATCACGAAATACAATGGACAGCTTGGATGCAACTAGACAATTTGGACGTTACAGATGCAAGGAAAAACAATCAGCAGCCTTTGAATCAGCAAGCCCCAACGTACGCAAGGGAAGAAGCAAGATGCTTAAGTACAATACGGAGAACACCAAAACAATCACACATGGTGAAGAAAGTGTGGAAGAGGTGGAAACGTTTACGTACCTGATCAGCATCATCGATGAATAAGGAGAATCAGTTGCAGACGTAAAAGCGAGGGCCGCATTCCTATAGTTGAAGAACACATGGAGCTCAAAACAACTGTCAATTAATATCAAAGTCGGAATATTCAATACGAATGTCAAGACAGTTCTACTGCCTATCATTGAGCTGGGATACTGCTCGGGTGCCCAGACCGAAGCAGGCGGCTTGCTTAGGGCGCCACATTAGGAGTCTTCGACACCAAGGTCTGATCCACAAGGTAGCAGAGCAACGTTAATACATGCAGTCCCATGATAGTCGATTACCAATACCGATATATACAGATATATGAAAGTGAGGATCTCCGGTACAAACGTGAAGACAGCTCTACTGTACGGAGCTGAAATGTGGAGAACTATCACAACCATAATAAAAAAATACAAGTGTTTCTAAACAATTGTCTACAAAAGATACTGAATGTTCGTTGGTCGGATACCATCAGCAACAGTCTTCTGTCGGAGAGAACAAACCAGCTTTGAGCTGAAGAGGAAATCAGGAAAAAACGTTGGAAGTGGATAGGACATACATTTCAGAAATCATCGTACTGAATCACGAAACAAGCGTTAACTTGGAATCCTGATAAAAGAGAGAAGAAGAGGGAGATCGAGGAACACAATGTGTCAAGAATTGGAATCAGATATGAAAAAAGAGTTGGATGGGGAATGTTGGTAGGCGGCCTATACTCCTCGAGAAGGGGTAATGACGAATCTAAGTAAGTAAAATTATCGCTTAACTGTATGAATATACAATTTGAGGTTGCGGTAAACTATGTGTTATTCGAATATTGAGTGAAGTTAACCATAGAAATTTTAAAAATTGAGAAAGCACTTATACAGTTGTTTCATTATTGGTATACAAACTGTCGACCAAGTCAGCAAGAACTAACAAATTAAGTAGTACCTGTTCAGTCAGAAATAAGAAAGAAAACAATCCAAAAAAGGAAGTTTTCATTATGATGAAATCATCTATTTAAACTGTACAACTGTATTTATAGAATACATTAATATATATAATAAACTAGAGAATTATCGTAACCCCGCCTGTAGTTCTTATAGAGCTACTGCCGGTCCTAAGCTGGGGTAATGGAAGAGGATTGGGCATGGGGTTAGCGACCCTATCCTGAAAAAAATTTAACTCACTAAAAAACGCTAACCAGAAAAAATAATTCAAACCATTTAAACTCTGCATTGAAAGTAAGAAGGTCTTCATTCAGAAGAGTTATGACACCTCATGTTGAAAGCCGAGTTCCTTCGGAAGTCACGAGGTCGATGCCCCTTCGAACAACCAGAGCAACAATTTTTATACATAAATGGGACGTCCAGACAATGTGAGAAAGAAGACATTACGTCGGGAAATAGAATCAGATATTCAAAGTATGAATAAGAACTGGAAAATGCTGGAAAGGATTGCCCAGGATAGAGTTGGATGGAGAGTGTTGGTGGGCGGCCTGTGCTCCTCCACGAGAAGTATCAGGCGTAAGTAAGTAAGTAAGTAAGTAAGTAATAAAATTACTGTATTGTTATGAAAGATAATCGATAATTTTCACAAGTATTGAACCTAATTGCGTAATGGACCAAGTGGATTAACAATTTCGAGAATATTAAAAACCCACTGATTAATTGCAGTTCAAAAATCAATGACAAGATTTAAACAACCAATACAAAAATGAAATTATCCTTCATAACATTTCACAAGCTATTGGCTATATGAACTTAGTGGTTAAATGAATAACGTGATGGAGTTTGAAGCGAACAGTACTGGGTTGGAATCCTGGAGTGAACATCAACTGTGTGGTACAGGTACACCTCAATGACGAGTCCCAAATAGGATGAAACGTGCTTCCCAAATTCCATCGCTAGTCACTAGTCATCGCTATTATTAATAAGTTGTTTGGATTTATCAATTATGGGAAGAAATTAAGGTGAAGGTCTAACGACTAATGAAAATTTACAATTCACTGAACATTAAGTAGTGACCAATGTCATGTGCTTGAAATCCTTTCTGATATTCACTGAATTATATCAATCAAGTTACAGTATGATGATGATTTAGTACGGGAGATTTGACAAGTGTTTACAAGATATTCAGAAACTGAACTATTGAATGGCTTCAGTAATATTTTTGATAACCAGGAGGTGTTATGCTTGGAAATGCATTTAGAGAGAGTTCACTTTGTATGGTCGATATAATATGCTTTATGAGGGCAAGTGATGTGTCCCAAAGTAGAAAATTATTTTTTATACAACCGAAAATCAAAGGACAACTAGAGAAGATAATTCAAAGTTCGACAGAATACAATGTTTTTTTGAAAGATTTCTGGCACCTCTTACTCAAAACCTTTGCCGTTGTACCTCATATAAATTTATTATCTATGGAAAGAATTTCCTTTGATGCTACAGACCTTTTATCAAATTGGGATTTGTCGTAAGGTTTATGTCGATAGATCTAGGTGGATAGATATTACTGATTAACATCAGTATTATTTAATCAAGTTTGATTTCGATTGTTATATCGGTATAAATTCATCTAACCCTAGAGAATAGAGAGTAAGTCAAACTTCTCCTACTGTTCAGTGGAACCCAAGTTTATGTACTGACCGTCCCAGTTTGGAAGTATCTGTAGAACTCTTAAAGGATTTCGTTTAATTCGACATTTTACTCGCACTATCTAAATGTATTTTATATTGACTAAAATTTTCAGTTGTAAGTTGAAGTACAGTATTTTTCAAATTAGCTTGCATATTTATTTAACGATGACTAACTATGAAACAAATTCCTGGAATTTTAGTGATGACAACTTGTGAAGTTCAATTACGTCAAAAGTGATGATACCATGAATAGTATTTTCTTTTCTGATTGTTGCGCTGCGTTAAACGATTATCATAACTAAGGTATTCAAAGGTATAGTTCTCTTCATGAAAACTGAAGTCTCTATATTCGATTCTACATAGAATCTTGGCTTTACGTCTATGAGAAAACTTTAATTACGACGAAATAGGTGTTAAATGTTCTCACTAGTGACTAGCTTCATGAGGGAATTCTCAGAGTTCTGATGGAGTTAATCCGTGTTGGGTAGAGACATTTATCTACCTCAGACAATGAAAGATGGTCGCGTAATTTCGTAGATTGGTTGAGGTTATGTTATGTCCCGATAAGCAAAATGAATGTTAACTTTGTGGATCCATTTATGGACCA